TTTGCCATCCATTGACTGAAGTTCACTCGATACGTTATGCATTGTTTTCCTCTCTATCTGTCTTGCCTTCTATTTGCCTTGTAATTATCAAATTTTCCAAGCCCTTTTTCCTCATTATGTACCCTAGAAATTTCAACTATGCCTTTCTGATGTTGAGTATAAATGTCCTTTTTGTTTCCATTTTTTTTAAAACTTTAGCGTTGCTCACATGTTTTGTTCATCCCTCTGTAGAACCACATTTCTGTTGCTTCAAGTCTCTTCTTCATCTGGGAGGAGATTGTCCAGCATTCACTGCAATAGAGGAGGAATGATACTACATAACAATTCAACACTTTTTTCTTTGTTTCCAATGAAATGTTTCTGTTTATAATACTTTACTTAGATTTTGGAAGGCATCTTTTGCTATCCCAATGTGCCTTCAGATTATCATTGTTTGAATTATTATCTACGTTTTTTTGTTACTTTTTACCTTCTGTTATTTTTTTTTACCTTATTTTTTTTATTTATTTATGAATGTTTCAACTTAATGGTTCCACTTGTCCACAGACACTTGATTATGTAAATTATCATTCATCTCATTGATGCTCTGGTAAATAACATCGAACTTTGTATGACTCTGTAGAAGTTATTTCCAAACATTTTTCTAATGTTATAAATTGCACATATAGACAAGAATTGTTAAGATAAAATCCTTCATATTGCTGATATAGGTGGAATGTCTTTTTGTGGGCAAGGGAAGTGACTTGGAGGAAGAGGAGAGTAGGTAGAGCCTGGAGCTGATGGGTATGTCAGGTCGGCTGACTGAGGTGATTGGTGGTGATGTTGATGGCTTGCTCTCTACTCTCCTGATAGTGTTGGGAGTGGCAATCTTAAAAGCAGTAGAGGTGGATCATGACTCAGCTTTTTTTGTCATGCCTTTTACTTTAGTAACAAGATTATATTGTATTTTGGGGGAGATTTGTTTGTGAGCCAGATGTGATGCTTGAAGAACCTGCACATCTTTTGAACAATTTTTTATTTTTGCTTTTATAGTGTTCTCACCCAGCCAACATATAGAGTGAATCAGAAAGAGATTTAATTTGAAGCAGAGTATAACACTAATATAATCCAGTCTAAGTTATAGTTTATTATAAATCATCTCTAGGAATAGAAAGTTTACTTAAAGCATGAAGATTTCCTTTACAAAAATCAACACAATCAAATTGTAGTAAAATTTTATGCCAGTTCTCAGTAAATTTACTATTTTGTTCATTTTATCCAATAGGTTGATCAACAGCTGGATATTAAGGAACTAGTTACAGAACAAAAAGATAAAAAAAAATTGATTCATTAGGTGTATTTTATATACCAATGTATACAATTGATAATGCTGAGAGCCTTGAAACTTTATGAGCAATAATTGTAGTTTCAATTGTTATGCATATTCTTTTTATTAATCTATGAAACTGTGTTTAGTAAGCAGATCTGTGAAAACCAAAACATTTTCACCATCCTGGGTAAGATGATAAATTACATCTGACAGCAAGACCTCTGATCAGGAGGTTTTAAGGCATGTAGAACCACTTCTTAATTTCAAAGCAACAACTAACTCATGTATATGAGATGCAGAAGCGAACATCGTATTGCAGCTCATGACGTCACACATGACCACACAAGAGTGAAAACGAGAAGTATTTAGTTGTTGCTTTGAAATTTTTCATACCACAAAAACAGACTATCATTATTGTTTTGTCCATGTATTGGTTGATATATTGAAAAATAATTGTCATCTTTGATAATGGCTTATGTAAGCGGAAAGCTTAGATTAAACATTTATCAATATGGTGATTTCCTTTCATCTTTCAATGATAATGTTATTAAGCTTATCTGACAATATGAAAGTAACTTACTTAAAATAAATAGACAAAACTTGTCTATATTATTTAATGAAACATGCATCAATGAAAATTGCTGCCTAAATATATATATATATATATATATATATATATATATATATATATATATATATATATATATATATATATATATATATATATATATATATATATATATATATATATATATATTAAATGTTCACTTTTGTTGTTATGGTGTACATATGTTATATTTTACTAATCAAAAGCAAGAATTAAACAAGGACATCATAACAAGACAATTCAATAATAAACTCATGCATTTAAAAAGAGGAAGTACAATTTAGCATATCTGACAATAAGTTTATAACAAAAAGCCATTATAATCAGAAATCTACATCAACTCTTAGACTCTTTTGAGTATGAAAAAAGCCACTTCATTAACATTTTCATTAGAGGGTAAAAATTCATTAAAGGTACATTTTGACAAAGATTTCTTTCTAAGTTGTTTTTGTGTGCATTCCATCATCCCTTAATGCAATGATATTGCCTAAATAAACAGAGAGTCTTCATTATTTTTTTCATAAGGATACAGTTAAGAAAATATTAATAAGGTTTTGATGGCCCAATAATCACTTAGAGCCTTGTGTCATATGTATCAAAACAAGGCTTCACGTGTTCTGGTCTTATGAATATTCTTCGTTTCAGCACAAGACTCTTGGACTTCTGAACATATTTAATCAAGATTAAATACAACAACATTTAATCAAGATTAAATATGACATTTAATCAAGATTAAATACAAAAACATTTAACCAAGATTAAATACAACTATATTTAATCAAGACTAAATACAATGAGATTTAATCAAGATTAAATACAACAATATTTAACCAAGATTAAATCCAACAATGTTTAATCAAGATTAAATACATTTAACCAAGATTAAATACAACAATGTTTAATCAAGATTAAATACAACATTTAATCAAGATTAAATACAACAACATTTAACCAAAATTAAATACAACAATGTTTAATCAAGATTAAATACAATGAGATTTAATCAAACAGAATAAATGGAATCAAGATTACAAAGACTGAATACAATAATCACTGGATGAAGTTTGGAGGGTTCATTGTCCAAAATGTTGTGAATGAATATTAAAAAAATTCTCATAAGTCTACCATTCATCCATGCAATTAATATTACTGCCCCACATCTAGTCTTTTGGTTCTGCTATATATTTAGAGATTCTTTATAAAATACAAAGAAGAATTTGCAATGATATTGGTCGTAACCTGGCATCTTGACTTCTGTCATTTTTCCACAACCATAACATAGCTTCCCTGTGCCTTTTCTATAAATATTTTCATGATAATTATTCTGATGAGCTTTCCTCTTTGATTACCTCAACTTTATGAATTTAAGCGCAGTACTAGATTGGCAGGTAGGTCTCCTCTTTTTAGTATTTAAATTGTTAAGTGTAACTGTAAGTTCTATTCTAATAGTTTCTTTTATCTCACTTTACACCTGTGGAATTCTCTTCCAACTTATTGTTTTCCTGTCAACTATGATCTTCAAAAATTTAAATGCAATGCCAATTGTCATCTTCTCTCTCATTGAACTCTGTTCTTTTTATTGTCCTTTCTCCTTAGAAATGGTCACATCACATTGGAACACCGGTTTTCTTATAATCAGTGAAGTAAAGCAAAGTCAAGCTTGGTCAGTATCTAGATGGGTAAGTGCTTGAGAATAGCAGGTACTGTAAACTTGGATGTGCAGGTGGTGTAATGGATAATGGCTCAGAAAGTGAAATTGAAGAGACCTAAGTTCCAATTCCAGTGAAGTTCGTTATATTCACTTACACACAACTACACTTTTGAAGGTATGAATCCAGCTCATCTCCTCCCAGCTATAAGTAGGACTTGTATAAAAAATTTGTTATTATCACAAAATCTTACAATCTCAAAAACATGTTCTGGCTTTAAATAACCTGCAAAAAGTTACTATGCCATAAAAAACAAATCAATCAATCTAAAATGATCCTTCATAATTCTTGCTCTGTTTCATTCAGTCTTAGTAACTCATTGTGCATTAGTGGCTTTATCATCTTGCTTGGAGGAAATCAACACCCAGTTTACTGCAGTTAAGGGACCTTAAAAGAATTCCACAGAAAAAAATGTTATAATTCTCATGAATAATGCAGAGTGTTAAAATTTCAGAGAAGATTTTTTTAAATGCTTATTTTAATTCTTGGATCTCTCTTTTAATCTTTGACATTTTATAATTTTTCAGAAACAGTTCTGATATATTCATGTGGCATTTCTGTGTATTGTATTTAAATATGGTTGTCATATCAAATTTCACTGGAAAGAAATTTATGTTTAGTAACTTGTAGTTTTCTAATAATTCTATAGATTCCTATCACCTGGAAATGTTAAATCTTGTTGAGCATTATTGATTAGTTTCCAACTGGACTTTTAACATTTCTGTCACCTGCAATCCATTCATTCATTCCTTTCTTCCTTTATTGACCTTAAGTAATTTTCAAAAATAGATTAATATATCCTTCCTTAGGGGCTATGCATGATGTATGCTTGATTGATCATATCTCTCTTCAATTCATGATTGACATTTATATAAGATTTTATAGGACATAAAACGGGGGATCGGCTTCCTATTGACATTAAGTACTAAATTGATCCCCTAGAATTTCTACATATTAAAATTCTTCTTTAAGTTCTATGCATGATGCACTCTTGTGCAATTATGCCTCTCTTCAATTCCTGATTGACATTCATATGATTCTATAAGACATTAAGTGGGGGATCGATTTCTTATTGTCATTAAGTACTAAACTGATCCCCCCAGAATTACACTTGGGTGATCATGCCTCTTTTTCAATTCATGATTGACTTGGCAGAAAAATTCCCACAGTAAGCTGTTGTTACTTCCTGTGATAGACTGGTTGCCAACCAAAGTTATAAGACCAAGTCTGTCCTGATATTTAAGCCATAGATAAAGGGAGAAGAGATGAATTCATAATTTTCCCAAGGGTATTTGCACATAAGTGAATATAACAAACTTGTCTCTCCAATTTCTCATCTTGAGCTGTTATCTATCACACCACCTGCACATCCAAGCTTACAGTCCCTGGTATTCTCAAGCGGTCACCCATCTTCATACTGATCAGTCTTAATGTTGCTTAACTTCAGTGATCGGATGAGAACTAGTGCTTCAACATGATATAGCTGTATGCTAGATTAATAAATACCAACAGCAAAAGTGAAATTTTGTAGTTCATTTATGATAAAAGGCACCAGTACTGGATTTACATTTATATATAGACACTTGGAAGCCTCACTGTAACAGAAGCAAGAAAAATGGTGCAATCAAGCTCAATCTTCGATCACGTAACCACAATAGCACAAACTATAAGCATGCATGAGCAGAAAGCAGTGTAACAAACCTAAAGGTATGTTATCGCGAAAGTACGGATAATTTTTGACTTACCCTCGTATAAAGGGCTGTAAATCTGAAAATACTTTTCATGCACCCTAATAAATTATCCTTGTACCATACTAATTGTTAACTCACCATATACATATTTTTGTCAAAAATACATATGGCAAAAAGACAATGTTTCTCTGGCTTTTTCTTCACATAAGAACAGCATGATTTTAATTTATTTTTGAGCAATACATTCAGATACTGGTTTATTTCTAGCCACTTCCTGAGCAGCTTCAAACTCTTTGAAACAATTTAAAATAATGCTAGGAAATTGACAGAATCTCAGTATTTGTATCTGAAGTAAAAGACTATAATGGCATGGGGCTTAGGGGTTAAAATGAACAGATGATTTACCCACACCAAGATTAATGGAGGATAATGATGAGAAAAAGAAAGGGTAATTTTGACAAAAAAAGACAAGGAATATATTCAAAAATTTACATGATTGAAGTAGTGTCAGTAACTTGTTTCAGGAAAATAAATCAGAATTCTTAAAGTCCATAGTTTTAACATATTGTCATGAAGAGGAAATGTTTATACAACAGATTAAATAATCTGACACAAAATAATATTCAAAAATATTTAAAACAAAGTTAAAAGAGTTTGTTGCTCACTGAAGGGATATATGTCTTGTATATATTCAAATGTAGATGAAGAGAGAAGAGAGATAATTAGAAATACTTAACTTTCTTGGATTGTTGAGAGAAAATTCTTTGAAGTACTGTGTGCTGGTTAAAGTCTCATAATATAATTGGCGAGTAATTTTATACTGACAAGTACTTCACTGCTGGTTGCAAGGAACTGAAACAAAACCTTTCACATGAATTCAGACACTCTTCTAAATAATTTAATTTTTCTCCTATCAAAAAGAATTTTGCATATGCTTGTTACTTTCTTTCCTTCTTCTTGGCTGACCGGTTAGTTTCTGTGAGAGGTAAAAAATTTCCCAAATTTGAAGGGAATGGACAAAGGGCATTATTATTATTTTGCACTCACTACAAGATACAGCTGTATAGTCCTTTCTTTCTTTTTACATTCTTTCATGACATAGGCAATCATGTCTCTCCACCTCCCTCTATCCCTTGTAGCTCTCAACAAGTTCCTTCCCTCTGCTTCCTCCACCAGACCATGTTCTGTCATCTACTTGCTTAAGTCCACCAGGTATGTCACACATTGTTTTCCCTTGTCTCTCTTTCCCTCTATTAAACCTGTGAGTATCAAATTCTCCATGCCCTCCTTTCTTATTATGTCTTGCAGAAACTTCAGCTGCCTCTCCCTGATATTAAGCATAAGCCTCCTCTTTGTTTGCAACTTTTCTAAGATCTCATTGTTGCTCATACACTCGGTCCATGATATCCTTAAATTCCTTCTATAGAACCACATCTCCATTGCCTCGAGTCTCTTCTTCATCTTTAAGGAAATTGTTCAACATTTGCTACCATAGAGAAGGACAGATGTCACATAGCTGTTCAGTATTCTTCTCTTTGTTACCAAAGATATCCTCCTGTCTCGCAGTACTCTGCCCAGCTTTTGGAATGTGTCCTTGGCTATCCCAGTATGCCTACAAATCTCACAGCTATATAGTACTATATATATATATATATATATATATATATATATATATATATATATATTATATTTAAAAAAAAATGAATGCTGACCACTGCAGTTTCGCCCACTACAGTCTCCTCAGGTGGTTTATTCAACGACATGGAGCTCAACAATTTGTCATTGAGCTCCATGTCATTGATTTGCGATAATATTCTGGTCAGCATTCATTTTTTAAACATTAACCATTTCTGTATTTACATTCGTTGGACTATTGTCCTCATCTTTGTCGCCATATTTGTCACAACGTTTCGGCTGTTGTACGCTCCGGCCTTCTTCAGGTGGTTGGAATTTCGAACTGAACCCTTTATTTCGCTCACTGGGGTAGACTGTTCTAATTCCACGTGTCATGTTTGATGGATGTCAGTTATCAGTTATCTCCTGCTAATTTGGGTATGAACTTATAAACCTAATGTTTTCAGCATCATTTTTACCAGTGCTCATATTGCAATTTTTGCTGTTATCATTGCATGTCTTTACCAGAGTTCATATTGCAACTTTGTTATCATTGCTTTTCTCTGGCACTCCTTATTACTGGTTCCCATATTGTATTTATTTCTATGCTTGGTCGGCTCAGGAGATTTTTGTGGCCTAGCATATGTGCTGATTCCTTAAGTTTACGAATTTTCCAATGGTGTTCCCTGTCTATGATCTCAACATGATCCCACAGGGGGCGGTGATCTCCCTTCTCTCTCCATATGTGGTCAGCCACGCCTGATTTTTCTACTTCCCCTCTCGTTACAGCTTTCTGGTGTTCTTGAAGCCTTACCTTGAGGGGGCGGCCTGTCTCTCCTTTATATTCCTTTCTGCAGCTGCATGGGATAGTGTACACACAGTCTTTAGTCATGTTCCTCTCTAGAGAGATACCTGCGAAGTGTTGTCACGCTTTTGAAGGTTGTCCTGATGTTATATGGACCGCAGATCCTTTGTATTTTCTCTGATAACCCCTTCACATAAGGCAGGCAGACTGTTTTCTGAGTGTTGTTGTCCTCCTCCTCCTCCTCCTCTTGTACCCGCCTATCCCAGTTTTTGGGGGCTGCTGCCATGTACCCAGGGTAGTTGTTGCGTTGTAGGGTACTACTTATACTGACCAATTCCTTATCTAACGTCTCTGGATCGCCACTTATGACTTTTGCTCGGTGTTGTAAGCATTGACGATCCCTTTCTTTTACGCTGTATGGATGGTGGGAGTTGAAATTGAGGTACTGTCCAGTGAATGTTGGTTTACGGTATAATGGATGTCTTGAACCCATTCTCTGTTCGAGATATTAGTACATCCAGGAATGGGAGTGAGTTGTTACTCTCTTTCTCCATTGTGAACTGTATCGAAGGTCTTATTGAGTTCACATGGTCCAGAAGAACCTGGACTTCTTCCTGATGTGGCCAGAGTATGAAAGTGTCATCTACGTATCAGTAACCATATAGTTGGCTTTAGCGATATAGACTCTAATGCCATTTCTTCAAAGTATTCCATGTATATATTCGCCATTGCTGGTGATAATGGCGAGCCCATTGCTAAGCCCTCATCCTGTCGATATATGTGAGATCCCATTCGAAGTGTGTTGTTTGTGTACAGAAAGTCAACATCTCCATCAGATTATCTATTGGAATACTGGTCCGCTCCTCTAGGGAAGAGTCAGAGGTTAATCTATCTCTGACTACTGAGAGTCACCTCCTCCGTGGGTACCTTGGTGAACAGACTCACCACGTCCAAGCTCACCATCTGGTTGGATAGGATGGGAGCATCTTTGATTATTTCCACGAAGTGGGTGGAGTTTCGGACATATGAAGGAGACTTTCCGATCAATGGGTCAATTATATCTACAAGGAAGCGACTCAGAGGGTGGCACACAGAGCCTTGGCAACTAACAATCGGCCTGAGTGGAATACCGTCTTTGTGAATCTTAGGGAGACCGTATATTTGAGGTAACTTGCGATAACTGCCTATACGTCTTGGGTGTGAAGTGATCCTTGTTCTTGATTAGGATCTGTGACAGTTTGCATTCCGTTTTCATAGTAGGATCTTTCTTCACTATGCTGTAGCTACCATTGTTAATGAGGTCTTCCAGTTTTCTTGTATAGTCCGATTTGTCCATCACTACAGTCGCATTACCTTTGTCAGCCGGTAGTATGATGATGTTCTCATTCCTCTGTAGTGATTCAATCGCCAGTCTCTCCAGTTTTTGTTATGTTAGACCTGGGCAGCTTGGCTCTCTCCAAGGCCTGTCTCACTTTCCATCTTATTTCATCCGCCTGAGCCTGAAGGATGTTCAAGGCCACCTCCTCTACTCTGGCAATGATGTCCAAGTATGGCACCTGCCTGATGGTTGTGGCGAAGTTGAGACCCTTATTCAATACTGACTCCTCAGAGGCACTCAGCTGATATTGGCTGATTTTGACTACTGCTTTCACTGGTGGGTGATGGACCTGTGCGTCACCTTCTGATCTTTCAATCTATTTAATTTTTGCACTTGGCGAGCCTTGACTACATCAAATTCATGTCTGAAGGATTTATCCAGGTCATTTTGGATCCTTCTCTGGTCTTCTTCATTGGTAATTCTGTTGAAGAGATCCTCGGCGTCTGGGAGATATGAGCATGTACTCGATGTTTCATCCAACGGTTGTACTGGATTCTCTCTTGGACAAGGGCATGTCCCGCTTTCTCTGCGACCGACGAGCTCTCCTTGAATTGATAGGAAGTCTTGGTGCCAAGCCTGAAGGGATTAACCATTTCTGTAAGTTTGGTCTTCCAACTTGATATTGAGCACTTTTAATGCGTACAACCTTAACAAATATTTTACTGTTTGTATACTCTGGCATGTATATATATATATATATATATATATATATATATATATATTACACATGCTCTAAAGCTTGCATTCAAGCATGGAACAGACTGTTGCTGCTCAGTGTTGACCTCAGTGTCTACTTTTACATTTACATATACTCTATCTCTGATATTGAGCACTTTTATTTATAAATATAGTATACCTTAAAACTATTTTTATAATACATATATATATATATATATATATATATATATATATATATATAGAGAGAGAGAGAGAGAGAGAGAGACAAAATATAATAATATTAACAATGTAGTAAGTCATTGTTTTAGATGTTTATGAAAAAAGTCAAGGGCTGTAAAAATGAAAATTACTTTCAGGCACTCTAATAAGTTGCTATACTAAGTTTACTAAATATCATAATGAAATATTAACATAATTAACTATGTTTTCTTGCTTACTAATTAAAAAGTATAAAGGCAATCTTGTAACCTAGGAAAGGTTGCTGAATGAGGAATAACCAAAACGGAGGTTGGAAATGAAATGGTAATCTTTATAACATCAACAAAATGCAATACTCATCAACAGCATGAAGTAGGGAAACCACTTCTAGTGGTGGACTACTTAGGCAGCATATTACCCCCACTTACAATAGTGTCCAATGTACTTATGAGGATTGGGACATAGCCATTAGTGATCAGAGGTACAGTATATAACAGGCAATTATACATATAACCTTATACATTAAAATATGTATTTTTCTTTGTTTACTAAAGTTAAGTAACATTCTCTTTGGTCAGTATTAAATGGGTGATAATTTAAAATTTCTTGTTTTAGCCTTCATTTCTTCTTGTTCCTACGACTATCTTGAATTTTGCTAAAAACAATGTTTCCATGTTTTACTAAAAGTCAAAACAAATAGTGTTCAGAAAGTAATACTGAATTCTGCTGACAAATAAATAACGAAATGAAAAACAATATATTCCAATATGACATGCAATATTTTCCTCACAAAATCAATCCCAGAGGAAAACATTAGACATGAAATTTTTCTTTGGTATCTTCCAATAGGACAATTCAAGGCTATATTTTTGAGTGCCAAATAGATGGACAGGAATGATTATTCTTTTGATGGAAAAATCCCTCTCTGAACATCTTTATTCCAAACACCCTTTTTATTAAATATTCAGACTATTTTCACTAACTCCTTCATTTTTGCTGCAAACATTCTCGCACAAAGCATTCTAGGATAAAGCATTTCATCCCAATAACTAATAAAAGTGGCATTTGAAATAATGATGTCCTGATGGATTTTTCTCCAAAAACAAATAATCTGCCCAGCCCATCTATTTGAAAATCAAAGCTACTTAACACAAACAAACCCAGGAGAAAACATTAGGCTTAGGAGTCTTACTTTATCCTCAATACTCACCATATCTAATACATTTGGATTAGCTTTCATTTCAATCATTAGAACATTTTTTAGTGCCAGAACATTTACAAATAAAGAAGACATATATTGAGATCTTTCAGTTTTCTTTTCATCAGTTGTCTGTCTTCTATAATGTTTCATTTTTTTTTTTTGACAGTATTAAGGAAGTAACAAACACTTGAGGAAGGCTGTAGGGTATATTGTTGAAACATTGTGAAAAAATAAAGTCTGCATGCAGTGATTAAATCACACTATTAAAAAAAATTCAGGCAAGAGTTAATGTTTTATTTCTTTTGATATTAAAATTAGATCAATTTATCAAGCAATTTTTCGCACTAATCAATTGTAAACAATTTAAAATGGATACAATGAATTTCCTTGCAAGTTCTCTGAGGATTTTTGATCAGTTTTCCATTACAACATTCAAATCTTCTTCATTGATTGTTTCAACTAAATTCAGTTCTGGTTTTCTAAATTGAAATCCACATTGCTTTTTGAAATGTAATGCCTTATTTGTTCATAAACTAAGTTGTCCTAAAAATCAGAGAAAGGATTTCCATATTTGCTTTAAAAATATTGTATAAATTAATGGAATTACGCAAATTATGCATAAACAGATAGATAGATAGATAGATAGATAGATAGATAAAAACAGACTGAGATATATAGATAGACAGAAACAGACTGAGATAGATAGATAGATAGATAGATAGATAGATAGATAGATAGATAGATAGATAGAAACAGAATCAGATAGATACATAAAAACAGACTGAGATATATAGATAGCTAGATAGAAACAGACTGAAATATATATATAGATAGAAACAGACTCAGATAGATAGATAGATAGATAGATAGATAGATAGATAGATAGATAGATAATGGCTACAACTTGATTTTGAGTAATTCCATCACTTGATCCATTCTCAAATACAGGTAGCACAGATGTGGTTTTTTATTCCTGCTGGGGTTTTACATCCTCTTCTGCAAATATGGCAATGTTGGACATCATTTAAAGTAATAGTTACATTGATATTTTGGTGAACTTTCAAATGTTTTAGTTCACCGACTGAGGCATGTTCCTATTTACATTCTCTGCAAGTAGAAATGTAGTGATTGACTTCTGTAGTAGTGTAGTGTCTTTGATAACTTTTGAGGTTTGCACTACTTAGGCAGGCCTGACCATACTTATTACAAGTTGGATCAAATTCTGTGGCAACGTTATCAGGGAAATTAACACTGAAACTTTTATAAATATCTCTCTTCAATTTTTCATGTTTAACAGCATTCTGTTCAAAGTCTCTATTGTACCATTGTGCTTTTCCCCGAGGAAAATACAATTGAAAGATTGAATGTAGTTTGTCTGACTGAAGACAGATACTACCCTTTGATCCAACATTAATATTCCATCTACCCAAGACTCTGGTGCAATGAGGGTGGTGCTATTGCAGGGTTGAAATCCCCAGGACCCAGGCATTCCTCATTTCTTTGTTGTGTTCTGTTCAAAGACATAAACACAATTGAGATATTTAATATAGTGTGTCTGCTCGAAGGCAGATACTACCCTTTGATCTCAGCATGAAGGCCATGAAGGAAAATATAATTCAAGTCGCACTGGCTATTCAGTAAATGAATACTAAATGTTTCTTCATAAGAAAATACCATTACCATTATTCAACCAATGATAGTAAAATTTCTATATGTTTATATGAGTAATATATTGTACATGATCATGCCTTTTATTGTTTTCAGCAGGAGAATAAAGTGTAGTATCTGTTCAAATTCTTCTACTTTGTTTTTGTCTTTGATCAGTTCATGGAAAAGCAATGAAGCAAGCACTTTTTTCTTTCTACTAATGAGGTAAGGTTGGTAGATTTTTATATCAGTGCGACAGTGGGTGTATGGACTGGGCAATTTTTGTCTATATTTGAACACCCGATGTTAAACTGACCCTTGATTACATCCTACAATTGTGGAACATAATGTCAATACAGAAAAACTCTGTTGACTTTGAGCAGTGTCTATTCCTCTCGACCACTATGCACTCATTCTTCAGACATTACCCTTCATTACATCGTATTACCCTTTTTATTGCTAATGATGGAGGACATGTGAAAACTTAAATAAAATTTCAATAAAATCTTAAAAAAATATAGATTTACTTCTTTCTAATCCTTTTTACAAATTATTTCTATCACAAATACAAATAAAGTTATAAATTATTTAAAGTGCACACGAACTTTATGGACACCCTGTATTAGACACAACTTGAATAGATTACCCTAAAATGCAGGGCTTCCTTATGCACAAGCCTCAGTTGGGAGCATTGGGTCCAGTTGGCCTAAAGCCAGCCCTGCCTATCAGTAAAAACTAATCCACAAAAAAAAGGGGCTTACACATTTCATTTTGATTGGATGATGTCAATCAATACATAATCAGAGAGTCAATTCTATTAAATAATGTGATCAGTCCAGTAAAGATGGTTGCAGTGACAAGAGGATTCGACACTGACCAGCCTCAACCTCCTGCCTTTTGCTCTACACTTACATCTTTCTTCCTCCTGTTTTGTCATTGTCATGGTTACAGCTATGCTCTGTGATGAACTACTAATGCTTGAAGAAAATAGTAGGACTTGTAATGGAAATAAAAGGAAGAGAAAGAGAGAAAGAGAAAAGAACTGCTTCTGGTTGGATAGAAATGTCACTCTGGCTAATGTCGTTGACAAGCATGTTAATGTCCTTGTTGTTATTGTCTGAAAACCATGTCCTTGATTAAAAGATTCTACTTGTGCCTGTCTCAATAGGGATGTAAAGGACAAAAGGATTGTTTCTTACTCACTCACACACACATGCACGCGCGCACACACACACACATACATATTTTGTGTGTGTGTGTGTGTGTGTGTGTGTGCGTGTGTGTATTGATATAATAGGAAAGAACTGTTAGATTGACGATCCAAAGTTCTTTAGTATTTTTGTTTTTATTTTTAAAAAACAGTGCTCAATACATAAGTAGAGCCTAGATTATAATTATTTTTTTAAAAAATATGATTCCATCACGGCACAGAAATTTTCGAAACTGGTCATCAGTATTTAAGTTTAATTCCAATATTAAACCTTAACTACTGGGTGGGAGTTTCAAAAACCCCAATCCAACTTTACACGACTCCAAAAACTTGACATATCACAAACACACCTACTTCTATCAAAGCAGTGACCCCTTGATAAAGAAAAAACAAACCCGAGACCACACCGCCATTTCAAAACTATAAATGAGTAAAACATTCTGTACCATAGTTATTCCAAAACAAAAATAGGTTTGATTCCTGTCTAAGAATGTATATTTTCTATTAAATTTCATGAACATTCAAGCTGGTAAATGTAATTAATACTGTTTAATTAAAAATGGACCATTTACTTAAATAAATTGTATCTATAAAAATAATGTATAAACAGAAAATATATTAATATATATAATTACTTGAGACTAAAAAGAGAAAGAAAATGACTTTTAAAAGCTTAGAAAAATAAGAAAAGATTTTAATTATGTTAAACACACACAAATGCATACACAGACAACACATTTTTTGTTATCCATCTGAAGAAGCCATAGCATTCTCGGATATCATTTTCATAACATACTTTCATGAATGCTTTTCCAAATGTCAATAACTTATAACTCTCTCAGAATTACATACCAAAATTTATTACATATATATAATGGACTCTCCCGTCGGTTTTGACGTATGAGGATCTGACAGCTTAGTTGATTCATTTATGAAATTTTGTGCAATAATCT